ACTCGGTTCAAATACAGGCTTTGTGGAATAGCTGACATACAAATGGCTCACTATTTTAAATAAAGAGTCCAGAATCCAGGAGAAGACTCATTTGAGAATATTGTTTCCTACTGCCTCAACAGGAAGTATCACTGCTTTGGTGATAAAGAATCCCTCATAATCTTCAAGGAAATGACATCCAATTGGGCAAAATGAACAATACCACACACTGGACAGCATGTATGTCTTCAGTACTTTCTGTTGGATCAGCACCAACTGATAAATCTTGGTACGTTGAAGTATTACCACAATCTTATTCTCCCAGTTTTAAGGATCCCCACAAGCCATAATGCAGACAGTGCATCACAACTTAGTAAGACAGATGAATAGGGGAACCAGAATTGAAACAAAAAGGAGTGGGAATTAAGAAGTTATTCCCTTATATAATTTTCCATCTTAAATAAAATTTCATTTTAACAGAATAGTATTATTCTGTTAAGTACATCCATAACCCATGTAACAAAACATAAAATTATATTGTGACTAAAAGCATAGATTTTGAAGTAAGGCAATTTGGTTCAAATCCTGGTGCTTCTAATGTGATGTTGGGAATATTTTTTAATCTCTTGAAGCCTAAACCTCCTCTTTAATTAAAAAAAAAAAAAAAAAGGAAGACAATACTTCATTATGGGGTTGAGAACTGAAAGTGATCATTTAAAATATATTACATAACAAAAATAAAACCTGAGACAAAAGAAAACACCATTTCAACTATGATTTTGTTAGACTTTTATTGTTAATATATTTTTTGAGCCATCATTTCAAAGGATCCCTATAAAACTGCAAATCTTAAAGCAGTTAATTTTAAAGGAGTCAACTCCAGTTTTTATTAATACCAGTGTTTTTTTCTTTTAGGACCACTGTGAGCATGACACTATACTGATGGCCAAGCAGAAACCCTAGTTTGAATTCTCTGATGTAAAAACTATTCTACTTACTTGTGGATATTAACTTGACTGTGAAGAATATAAAGCAAATTTCTGAAAACCTGTAAATAAGCACATAAAACTACATTTCATAATCCATGGTAAACAGTTAATTCTTGATTCTTCAAGTAAATGTAACTGTAATACAGTCATCTAAAAGTTACTCTGGTGTTGAAATATGCTATCATTTTTGAGTACTGTCCTATTAATTTTTCATCCAGAATAGTTATTTTTGTTTATATTACAGATGAAACTCTGAAACCAAGTAGGATACACAAAAAATCAGTAGTAGTCTTGGGTTAAAAATATCCCACATATCATTCAAGGATTATCATTTAATCCAGATTTAGTGGTAACATGTTCCCAAACCAATAAATATAACATGTTTATATTTATTGTATTTACCTACTTATAAGTAACAGACCATTAAAAAAATCTGGATACAATCAAGGGTGAATAAAATGTCAATAAGATGAACCGTACACATGAACTTTCAGTTTTTACCTTAAAAAAATTACCCAAAAAGTCCATTTCTACTGCTTTCTCCTTGAGAAATTACTCTTATGTGAGTTTGTTATCCTCTAGAAGATTAAGAAAAAGTCCTTTTGTATTTCATGATAGGTTTAATCAGGTAATTAAAAACAAATTCTTATATCATCTGATACGTCCAATTACATGGGTATGATGTAACAAAAAACAGTTACAAACTTATATATGCATATTTACATTATATATCCAAACTATCAAGCTAATCAACTATATCTAAAGAGATACATTATGACATGAGTTAAACAATTTTTCATTGCTTATTAGGAAGAATGCAGTCAAGCTTTTAATGGAATATACAAGTGAGGCACTTTTGAGGTCAAGAATAGAAAGCAAATGACACTACATACTGGCAATGTTCACAAAAATCTATGTGAATCTTTAATACAAAGGTTTTTCAACTAGATTATTCTTGAAAAGTTTCAAAACTAGCAACTTACGCAATTTAAGGAGCTTTCAGGAACAATGGCTAACATCAGTGTATCAAAGCATATGAAAGTTTTATAACCACCTGGCTGCTAGGCAAACAGTACCTTAATACCTTAAAGCCCTTTTTTTGTTGTTGTTTTTTGGTTTATATAAATCACCTCAGGTTGTGATTTCTTAATGTTTTGACTCACTGCAAAACACCTTATGGTACTATTATTATCATGGTTTATAGACCAATTTTTTTTTTAAGTGCAACAACAATGCAAGTTTCTAGTGCTTTCCGTTCTACTTAGAAATGTGATCCTGGAGGTCAAATTAAGAATGAGAATATTTAGTGAAGAATCTGTTTTCTAGGTAACTGAAGTTTTCAAAGTTTTATATTGAAAAATGTTACACTTACTTAATGCATCTTCGGGCTAAAATTAAAAATTCAGTCTTACCCACATATTCCAAAGAGTAATCACAAAGCCTAAAGTTTCAACAAAAATTTCAACAAATTTCAACAAAGGAAAAAAATTTCAACAAAAGAAACATCCTTTAAATTGCCCATCTGGAGGAAAGGACATGTTTCCTGTACTTTGAAGACATATGGATATTAGAAAACATCTCTGTGGCATTCAGTTAAGGGGGTGGGGTGGGGAATAAAAGAAAAAATGCAAGACTTACCCAAGATATCAGATGGCACTCTACACATGAATTGAAAGTGCATTTGTATTACTTCAAAAGTTCTTTTTAGGCACTGCTGAATAACCAATGAAAATAGGTAGTTTCAAGTTTTCCCCTTTAAATTTTAACCCCTGTCCCAACATCATCCCAGAGACATACACACATTCTCTGAAGTTGTCATGATCAAATATAGGTGCTGTTTATTTATTTATTTAAAAAAAAAAACTCCCTGGTTGGTAATGGGAGGAAAATCAGAATACCATTTTGGTAATGGCTTTTGCACGTTAAAAGAATTAGTTTTATAAATGCTTCGGCACATCCATTAAGTTTGATTGCCAGTTCCAAATATCAAGAAATATTTTAAGACAGGATATATAAGAAAAAAGTGCTTAAAATCTTTCAGTGACCAAAAGACACATTAGAGAAAACGTTCGTTTTACAGTTCCTTTAAGATATTTCTTACTCTTGCTTTCTCTGTTTGGAGGTGACCACTACTTAAATAGCCCTTTTTATTGGTAGTAGTGATGAACGCTATTAGATCCTGATTGCCACCTCACGTCTCTGGTCTATAAATCATCCAGTAGGTGGTGCTGAAGTTCCATACCGTGTATTTCTTCAGCCTCAAATGATTCCCCTGTCAAGGCAGGAGAAAAATCATTTAATTAGCAGTTCTGAACACAACGAGCCATCAGACCAAAGTCTTTCTTGTTATGCCGTCTAGATTATTTCATTTTCAATATTTACTATAACTTAAGCTGGTTTAGCCATTTGCTTATACTGCCAGATTAAAAAGCAGAGAAAGGTTTCAGAGGAAATGCCAGTTGGCAGTGCCAAGTCTGTATGCAGAAGAAAATGTTCCTGAACATACCTATACACATTTTAAAAATGAGAAATTTAAACTATCCTTTTCCCCCCCACATAGTTCTAATTTACTCAAAAGAACATTTCCACATAGGGATTCAGATAACATTATATTATCAGTTAGTCTTCTAGACTGGTTTGGAATTTGAGTGTGTTATCTATAAAGATCCAAGGTGAAATAAAAACCATTTCATCACCATAGTTTTTAATGAAGAAACTTGTTTAAAATTGTAAAGGAAAAAATGGGAATGGGATGGCAAAATCTTAGCAGCAAAGTGGTTAAACAAATTGAAAATATTAATGCACAAACATTAAAATATTAAAGCATATATGTTGCATATAAAATACAGTACAGAACCAGGAGTTGCACTATACTGATTAGTGCTTAACAGAAGAAATGATTAAATTTGTTCTTCCCAGAAGTATATACACAGTTCATTTCCACAGCATTTTCCTATAGAGCCAGCAAGTTATTTTCTTCAGTTATTCACACCTTGCTCAAACCTGAATTATGAACTCAGCACTTACAAATATGAAAATTCACTCACAAGGAAAACCAATATTTCCATTTTACCAGTAAAAAGTAATTTTGAAAGTTAACAGTCTATTCTAGGAAACCAAGTTTAGCTGAAAACTTCAAGGATGAAGATCATCTGGTGTAGCAGTGTTCAATTATATAAACAGTAAAAATAAGTCTTAAAACTGCTGCTACAGTGTCATATTTTGGATTTAGTTCATCCAATTGATTTTTAGTACAAAACTAGAAATAACCTCTTCTTCATAACATCTATAGTTATCAATATATTTTTCTTCTTTTCAATGTGAAATAATACTTCAAGATGATCTATATACACAATGTTGTCAGTTCAAGCTGTCATATAAATATAAATGCTTTCTTAAAAAAAAGTATTTTACAGACAGATAGTGTTATATACATTGTTCAGTTTGATCTGGGGCAAAAGAAGAAAGCTAACACAAGCTTAAGTGTGATATGTAAAAAGAATGATACATAAATGACATTTTAAAACCTGCATAGAAATGAGCTTCAAATGGTAGTGTGATTTTAATTTTACCACTTCTGAAACTTCAAGCCATTAAAAAAAAGGCACACTTCTCAACTTTATCCCTCTAAGGGAATGTTCTTAAAGAACCCTTTACTTGTTAGAGTTTTAATGTAACACTTAAAAAGACAAAGAAAACAAAAAACAGAAAACAACAAAAAAACAAACCAACCAGACAAATTGACCCCAACTACTTTAAACCATTTGTTGGAACATTTATCCAACTACTTAGTAAATAAAACATCCAGTAATACAATGCTCTGCAAAAGAAATAAAATTATATGTACAAGACATTTCATTCACAATGTTGGATTAAATACGTTCCTGGGACAGTTTAGTATATACTTTAACATAAATTTTGCTTTTGGCAAGTTTAAATAAAGTAAAATGCAACTGGGAAAAGTTATTGTTATGTGAATAATAAGCACTGAAAATTAAGCTTAAAAGTTATTAATTACAGCTGAACATATTCTAGTTTAGCAGAATGATAAATGGAGATCTCAGGAGGAATCTTTTACATGAACTATCCAGTTACACTTTTTGCCTTGTAAAACATTTGTAAATGCAATATGATTTTTTTGAAGGAGGAAACTCTGAAAGAAAACAACTTGCTGGTTGAATACCACAAAAAAAAAACAAAACAACCCAAAACCTCACTTTTTTCTATAATGTTTACTCAGTCTCTTTTTATATAAAAATAAGTGTTACGTTCCCATCAGAACATTAGACAATTACATCTGTGCTTTAAAAAAAAATTGGTCACTCAAGGCTATTAGGATATTTTTTAAAGATTTTAGATTACCAGAATGTACAGACAGAACTCAATATAAACTGTAGCCAAAGGGAAATGAGGATGAAAATAGCAAATCATTCACATGGAATAAAAACATGATTAACTAGATGAGTAAAATATTCAAAACATAATGGAATGTGACAGTAGATATATGTACATCTACTTGAGAACTAGGAAGGGGAAGAAAAGTTTAATATGTGATAATTCGTACCTTATATTTAGTTAAATATAAACATTTGTTATTTATACATAAAACCACTTTCAAAAAACAACTAATAAATGATTTAGTTGTACTTGTTTTATTTCTTGTAATTCCCAAGTGTTAACTTTCTTAGATTGATATCAACTGTCCCTTAGTGCACTTTTAGTTTATGTCTTAATGAATTCAAAACTTTAAAAGTCCCATCACCTAATGCATAAATATACAAAAAAGCCAAAAATTAATCCCTTTTAGGTTGGATATTTTATGCTCACTTTTTATAGCCAATAACCAGAAATGGTTTCCTTTTGCAAATACTCTTTACAACCTGTAACAAAACATGCCATGCACTAAAGGGAAAAAGTTAGGCATGGCTAGCATTTGTGAAATGCCAAGAACTAACAAGTTCTGCTTCCTCCACGTGTGGCCCCAGACACCAGGCAAGATTTCATATTGCTTGCCAAAAGCTTCCACAAATCCAAGTTAGCTAATTCCTGGAAACAAAGAATTTAAGCTCATTTTGGCACTGGATCCTTTCATCCAGCAGCTTTATGTTTCCCACCACAGCACCCACATGCCTCACCACAACGATGGCACATTCTCAAGGGGACATAGCAGCACATACATGGTACAATGAAAGACAAAGCTACTAGGGCTAACCATCGTAAGCAGAACTTGTCATCACTAGTGTCACATGAACAGGGATCAGAAAAATCTCCCTCTGAGTCTGACATACAATGATATAACATGCTCTCTGCACAGAGCATGCAACTAACTTGATATATGCATCTTTTAATAGGGTCTGGAGCATCCTGACATTTTCCCCTGCCATTTTCTTCATGATTAAACCTTTCTTGGCAGTATACACAGCGGGAACGTTCACCATCTTCTTTTCTTCGTTTTGACTTCTTAAATTTTAATGAGGAAGGCTGTGTCTTAAATACCACAGAGTCTTTGAGTGAACTTAACTTAGTCTCATCTCCACAAGAGTACAGATAGTCTGATTTTTTACTGTCTGGTTTAGAAAATTGAATATTGGAATCAGTATCATCTCTCTCTAAGTCGTTTTTCCACATGTCAGGATGTCTGTAGTCTGCATACCGACGTATTAAGATATCTCGAGGGTTTATTCTGACAATCTCATCCTCATCTTGAAAGCTGACGTGACGGATTGATTTCAAAGGGACCTAAAAAGGAAAAAGATGAAGACGGCAATAAGAACAGTGAAGGTTAATTTTGTATGTCAATTTGGCTAGGCTATAGTGCCCAAATATTTGATCAAACGTTATTCTGGATGTTTAAGTGAAGATGTTTCTTGGATGAGATTAATCTTTAAGATGGTGGATTATGAATGAAACAGATTATCTTCCACAACACAGACTGATTTCATCAATTAGCTGAAGGCCTTAATAGTATAAAGACTGAGCACCCCAAGGCAAGACAGAATTCTGCTAGCAGACCGCCTCTGGATGGGACTGCAACTCTTCCCTGGGTCTCAAGCCTGATAGCCTACTTCATATTTTGCCTATCTATCTTCATTATTCCATGAACCAATTCCTTAAAATAAATCTCTCTCTGTGTATATATATACACAACTAGTTGGTTCTGTTTCTCAGGAGAACCCTGACTCATACAGATTCTAGTACCAAGAATTGGAGTATTGCTGTTAGTAAGTACCTAAAAAAGTGGAAATGCCTGTAGAAATGGGTAGAGGCTAACAGAGTTTTGAAGTGCATGTTACAAAAAGCCTTGAAGAGACTATTGTTAGAAATACATTAGGGACGCTTGGGTGGCTCAGTCAGTTGGGCCGATGCCTTCAGCTCAGGTCATGATCCCAGGGTCCTGGGATGGAGTCCCACATCCGGCTCCTTGCTCGGCAGGGAGCCTGCTTCTTTCTCAGCCTCTGCCTGCCATTCTGCCTGCTTGTGCGAATGCATGCTCTCTCTCTCTCTCTCTCTCTCTGACAAATAAATAAATAAAATCTTAAAAAAAAAAAAAAAGAAATACAGACATTAAAAGTGCTTCTGGTGAAGGCTCAGATGGAAATGAAGAACACACTGGAAAATGGAGGAAAGGTGATACTTGTTATAAAATGGTAAAGAACGTGGATGAACTGTATGTTAGTGTTTTGTGGAAGACAGAACCTATGAATGACAGACTTGGATATTCGGCAGAGATTTTAAGCAAAGTGTTGAAGGTGCCCAGTTTCTTCTTGTGGCAAACACTAAAATGTGAGAGGAAAGGGATAACTGAAGTAGAAAATTTCAGTCAGAAAGGAAAGAGATCTTAAAGAATTGGAAAATTCTCCAGGGATGGGTAGTGCAAAAATTGAGAAAGCAAGTTCTAGAGAGAATATCAAAGGTGTGGCTGACCAATCATATAATAAAGAGATTATGATGTGCTTCCTGAATCCAATCAACTATCTTAGCTACAGTGCTGCCACAATGGACTACAGGGAACAGAGGTAGCATGGAACCAAGAAAGGCTTTTTTGGACTTCTCGGATTTATAGGACTGGCAAATAAAGCTTTCTGAATGAAAACATGTGTTATCTTTTAAGAAAAGGAAAAATGATCCCAAGGGTGAGGCTCTCTCCTCAGTTTCATAGGGCAATTCCTCAGTTTCAGTGGGCCAGAACACCTGCAACCTAGGTGTGAGGCTATCATCCACTGCTAAAGATTTAAAGATTTGGGGTCACCAAATTGGGGATTTAAAGATTTGGGGTCACCACTCTGCTGGGCCCATAGGACAAAACACTGAGCCAAAGCCAGAGGATTATTCCCAGGCCTTAAAATTTCAAAGAATTTGCCCTGCTAAGGTTTTAGACTTGCTTAGGACTCATGACTGCTTTCTTCTTTCTAAGATTTCTCCCTTTTCAAAATGAAGTATCTCCTCTATGCCTTTTCCATCAAGGTATTTTGGAAGCAGGTAATTTATCTTCCTTTACAGGTTCCCAGATAGAGAGGAATTTTGCTTTTAGGATGAATCACACCTTGCAACTCACCCACACTCAACTTAGAGGATACTGAGATAAGATGCAGGACTTAGAACTGATGCTAGAATGGGTTAAGATGTTTGGACTGTTGTGATGGGATAAATTTATTTTGCATGTAAGAAGGGATGAATGTGAGGAAGCAGAGGGCGGAATGTCAGGGGCTGAACCATGTACTCCCAAATTCATGTGTTGAGACCAATACTTCAGAATGTGACATTTATATATAAGGCCTTTAAAGGGTGATTACATTAAAGTAAGGTCGTTAGCATGGGTCTTAATCCAATCTGGTATCCTTTTAAGAAAAGGAAATTTGGGGGGCTTGGGTGGCTCAGTCAGTTAAGCTTCTGACTCTTGATTTTAGCTCAGATTATGATCTTGGGATCGCAGGATCTCCGTCCAGCCAAGAGTTTGCTGGAGATTCTCTCCCTCTCCCTTTGCCACTCCCCCTGATTACACGCGTTCTCTCTCACTCTCTAAAATATAAATAAATAAAATTTTTTTAGAAGGGGGTAGGGGAGCAGAAGTGAGGGGAGGGGAAGGGAAAAGGAAAGGAAATTTGGACATACAGAGAGGCACCAGGGGTGTGGATGTACAAAAGAAAGACCATGTGAGGACACGGCCAAGAAGCAGACATTTACAAGCCAGGAAGAGAAGGCTCAGAAGAAACCAAATGTGCCAACATCTTGATTTTGTGACAAAATAATTTTGTTTTATTAAGCCACTTCATCTGATACTTTGCTATGACAGCCCTAGCAAACTAACACACAGACACACATATATATAGCTTGATTATATGAGTCTCTGAAAATGACTTAAAACACATTACACCCACTTATTCTCATTCTCTCCCCTTCTAACCTTCTCCCACCCCCTTTCTGGGTATATTGTCTTCCTAGGCCCAGGAGCAAATTAAATCTTTCTGGAGATAAACCAAATGGGGTCTAAATCAAAATGACCTTTTCCCCTTTACCTATACAAGTGGGCTTCTTGTAGTCACATTTCCTAGTCCCAGCCCTTGGACACAGTGATCGGTCTACAGGAAAGCACCTGATCCAGGATGAGGCAAACTTCCATTCTCAAGATATTATGGAAATGGGGCTAAAAAAACCCTCCAGATCTGGGCTACAGGAATGGTGGATACAGTCTATTAAATTACCAATATATAATTCCTATCAGCTTTATCCAGTGATAAACACACAGGGGCAATCCCCAGACTCAAACCAGAAACTTGGATTGAGTTTAAATAATGTTTATAATCATAAATGTAGCAAATGTACACATGAAAAAAATTTTCTAGTATAATTCAGCTACATGGAAAATGAGAAGGACTAAAAAATTTCACCTATTTGTTAATTAGTTATATTCTATATCAGAAGATAAAACTAAGAACTTACCCTATTTTGGGACTTCAGACTTCCACATTCCTTGGATATTTGCCGTTGTACATATTCTATACTTCTGCTCTGAATGTCTAGGCCCGGATGACTGAACGTTATCTAAAAAATAAACAATTTCTACTTAAGTGACAAGAGAATGTATTTATTTTTAATAAAACCATGTGCAGTATGTATTCCAAAACTTCATAGCCTATTAGTAGTGAAGCTTTTCAAAACAGTTTTAAGAAAAAAGCATCACTTGAATTATCCTATTGTTTAAACTTAGGTCATTCCTCACACATTTATTTTTATTTTTTATTTTTAAGATTTTATTTTTTATTTGAAAGAGAGAGAAAGAGAGAGCACGAGAAGGGGGAGGGTCAGAGAAGCAGACTCCCTGCTCAGCAGGGAACCCAATGGGGGACTCAATCCTGGGACTCCAGGATCATGACCGGGGCTGAAGGCAGTCAGTCACTTAACCAACTGAGCCACCAAGGCACCCTTCCTTACACATTAAAATTTTAATTTCAAAAGTAACACGAACTTCTGGTTTCTGATTCTGCATGTGAGGAACTTAGTAATTGCCATTCTGTCCTAACAAGCAAAAAACCTAAACAGAAAAAATATCACCAACTCTTCTCAGATCTGTGAGAGAGAGGATGACACAGTATGAACCACTGCCTCCAAGATTGGAGACAGACAGGAAAATAAAGGGAGTCACAGCTCACCAGAGCAGATTCATGAGCAGAAATTGCAACAGAAACCAGTTCTGAGGTAGGAAAACCTGAACTATAATAGATGAGGTTCCAGAGCTCAGTGTACATACTGAGTTAAAAACTCCAAGTGAAGCTCCTGAAGTTTTGTTGGGGGTTTACCTCCAAGAGCTCAACCAGGTTCTTGCAGTAAATACCAGAGAAATCCCTGCATGCTTTCAGAAGGAGGAGGGGAAAATGAACCTTTTGTAACTATGTCGTAATACTCCTTTTTTGTTTGTTTTTTAACAAGGTCTGCCCTCAGGAGAAACTAGTTAACCAGAGCCTGACCTAGGATATTATCAGAGTCTACTTGACCTAGGAAAAGAGAAAGAGCCAACTTTAGTCAACTCTAACCATGTGACCCAACTAAAAAGTTAGAAAAAAACTGCGAAATACTTGTGGAGTTCACAGTCCAGAAGCATAGGCTCATTCTAAAAGACAGACTTAATCAAAGGACTACGGAATGCTTCCCCTCCCCAACACATACTAAAGGCCTATTTATAGCAGTTCCTTTTACCCAGTACATCATATGTCTAGCTTTAAGAAAAAAAAAAAAATTGTAAAACATACTGAAAGGCAAAAACACAATTTGAAAAGATAGAACAAGCATCAGAACCAGACATAGCAGGGCTGTTGGGATTAGCAGACTAGGAATGTAAAACAACTATGATTAATATGTTAAAAGCTCTAATGGATAGACAGCATGCAAAAATAAATGAGCAATACAAGGAAAGAGACAGAAACTAATAAGGAATCAAAAGAAATGCTAGAAGTCACAAACATTAAGAGAAATGGAGAACGCCTTTGTGAACTTATTAGACTGGACATGACTGAGGAAAAAAAAAATCTCTGAGCTATTTAAAATAGTAGCGACTGGGAATTCACAACTGAATTAATGTTGGACATCAAACCACAGACCCAGGAAACTCAAAGAACACCAAGCAGAATAAATGCCAAAAAACAACACTACGCTCAAGAATATAATTTTCAAACTATAAAAACTCAAAGATAAAAAATCCTGAAAAATGAACAAAAACAAAAGTTCCTCACTCACAGAAGAGCAAAGAATTACATCTGACTTATCCTCAGAAACCATGTATATAAGAAGACAGTGGAGTGAAATACTTAAAGTGGTGAAAGAAAAAAATCTGTCAGACTAGAATTCTGTACCTTGCCAAAAAACAAACTTCAGGAAAGATAGACTTTCTCAGGCAAATAAAAACTAAAGAAATTTGTTGTCAGTAGACCTGCTTTGTAAGAAATGTTATGAGGTTATGAAGAAATGTTATGAAGGAAAATGATACAGATCAGAAACTCAGATCTATGTAAGAGTAAAGGAGCACTGAGGAAAAAAATAATTTATTTTCACAATAAAATACAATTTCATTTTCTTATTCTTAACTGAGCTGCAAATAGGTTATTTAAAAACAGTAACAATGTGTTCAATCATTTATGATTATATGTATATATATATATATACATACACACACACTCAAACATATAAAATGAAATAAATGAAAGCAATGATGTAAGACATGTGAAGGAGGAGTTAGGGTTATTTTGTTATAAGATAATCCCAGTATCTGTAAAGTGATTTAGTGTTCTTTGAAAATGGACACAGATGCAAACCACAGGGTGACAATAAAAAGTAAAAACAAACAAATAAATATAATTTATATGCTAAAAAGGAGAGAAAATGAAACCATATAAAATGTTGAATTAAACCACAATAGACAGAAAACAAGTGAAAGACAAAAAAGAGAAACAGAAAACAAGGACAACAAATAGAAAACTAAAAAATATATAGATATTAATTCCACTGTATCAATAATCACTTTGAATGTTAATGCCCTAAAGTTACCAATTAAAAAATACAGACTGTTGGGACGCCTGGGTGGCTCAGTTGGTTAAGCAGCTGCCTTCAGCTCAGGTCATGATCCCAGCGTCCTGGGATCGAGTCCCACATCGGGCTCCTTGCTCATCAGGGAGCCTGCTTCTCCCTCTGCCTCTGCCTGCCATTCTGTCTGCCTGTGCTTGCTCTCTCTCCCTCTCTCTCTCTCTGACAAATAAATAAATAAAATCTTTAAAAAAAAAAAATACAGACTGTTAAAATGAATAAAAAAGTTAAAACCCAATTACAAGAAACCTACTGTAAATGTAAAGATACATACAGAGTAAAAAAGTAAACAGAAGGGGAATAATACACTATGCTAACACTAATCAAAGAAAGCAAATTTAATTCATTTCAGACAAGGCATACTTCAAAGCAAACAAAGTTACTGGTCATAAAGAGGGGCACTAAGGAACCCCTGGGTGGGTCGGACGGTTAAGCATCTGCCTTTGGCTCAGGTCACGATCCTGGGGTCCTGGGATCGAAGCCCACATTGAGCAGGGAGCCTGCTTCTTTGTCTCCCTCTGCCTCTTCCCCTGCTTGTGCACACTCTCTCTCTCAAAGGATTACATTAAATCTTAAAATAAAGAGGGCATTACATAATGTTATGAGATTAATTTTCTAAGACCTGTAATCCTTAATGTGTACGTGCTTAAGAACAGAGCATTAACTTACACAAGGCAAAATCTGATAGAACTGCAAAGAGAAATATAGGTACCTATTACCACAGCTGGAGCCTTCAACACCCTTCTATCATAAAAGAACAGATCGAACAGGCAGAAAATCAGTAAGGACATAGTGAATTCAACACAATCAATCAAGTGAATATAAATGACATCTACAGACTACTTAATAGCAGAATACATATTTTCTCAAGCTCACATGAACATTAACCAAGACAGACCACATTCTGGGCCATAAAACAGACTGCTAAATTTAGAAGAATAGAAATTACACAGTGTCTGCTCTTACACCACAAAGGAATTAAACTAGAACTCAGCAACAGAAAGGTAAGCGAAAAATCCCCCCAAATACAGAGATTAAACAAAACAACACACTTTTAAATAACATATAGATCAAAGAAGAAAGCAACAGAAAATAAGTAGTATTTTGAACATAACAGAAATGAAAATTGTGGGACAGAGTGAAGGAAGTCCAAATCCAAATATATATTTTTTTTAAGATTTTTATTTATTTACTTATTTGTCAGAAAGAGAGAGAGAGAGAGCACAGGCAGACAGAGTGGCAGGCAGAGGCAGAGGGAGAAGCAGGCTCCCTGATGAGCAAGGAGCCCGATGTGGGACTCGATCCCAGGACCCTGGGATCATGACCTGAGCCGAAGGCGGCTGCTTAACCAACTGAGCCACCCAGGCGTCCCCCAAATCCAAATATATTAGAAAAGAATCAGTAATCTAAGTTTTCACCACTGGAAATTAGAAAAAGAAGATTAAATCCAAAGGTAGAGTTCTAGCTAATGCAATAAGACAAGAAAAGGAAATAAAAGGCATATAGATTGAGAAGGAAGAAATAAAACTGACCTTGTTCACAGATGACATAATCATCCATGTAGAAAATCTGAAAGAACTGATAAAGTAACTCCTAGAATAAGCAATTATAAGGCCGTAGGATACAAGATTTATATATAAAAGACAATCACTTTCCTATATATGAACAATAAACATACAGAGTTTGACATTAAAAACACAGTACTATTCACATTAGCACTCCACAAAATGAAACACTTGGGCACACATCTAACAAAATATGTATGTAACATCTGTATGAGGAAAACGATAAAATGCTGATGAACAAAATAAAAGAAAATAAATGCAGAGATATTCCACATTCAAGGATTGGGAGACTCAATACCATCAAGACGTCAGTTCTTTCCAAATTGGTCTACAGAGTCAATGCAATCCTAATTAAACCCCAGCATATTCTTTTGTGGATACTGACAAACTGATTCTAAAGTTTACAGAAAGAGGTAAAAGACCCAATATACCCATTACAATACTGAAGGAGAATTAAAGCTGGAAGAGTGACATTACCTGACTTCCAGGCTATATTAATCAAGACAGTGTGGTATCAGCAAAAGAACAAATAGATCAGTGGAACAGAAGATATGACCCTGGTAATGGTGATAACTTCTTAGATACAACACTAAAGGCACAACCCATGAAAGAAAGAACTGATAATGTGGACTTCACTAAAAATTAAAAACTTCTGTTCTGCAAAATACAATGTCAAAATAATAATAAGACAAGCCACAGACTGGAGAAAATATTTGTAAAAGATATCTGATAAAGGACTGTTATCGAAAATATACAAAGAACTGTTAAAAACCAACAATAAAAAACCAAACAACCCAATTTTAAAAATGGGCCAAGATCTCAAAAGGTATTTCACCAAGGAAGGTACACAAATGGAAAGCAAGCAAATGAGAAGATGCTGCATACCTTAAGTCATCAAGGAAA